CAATAATGTTGGCCGATGACACATCAATCGGTGTTGCGGGAAAATATGTAAAATCCATAGAAGCAACTCTCAACTATGATTTAGCCCAATTGAATAAATGGGCAGAAAAGTGGCGTGGTGTGTTCTAACGGTTATATCTAGCATACTGTAAGACATAGAGGGGGTGGTGGTGGTTCTAACGGTTATATCTCAAATACACGTAGAGGCGGGAGGCCTAACGGGTATGAACAACAATAAAAACTTTCATGCATTTATGACCCACATTTACGAACCTTTTATCAGTCTCTAAAAGGGAGCTGGCAATAGATATTAATGAGCTTCGTCCTTCAAGCCTGAAAACCTTTTAATATGGTTGATTAATCCTTTGTCATTTATAAAAAAAAGTAGTGAGGTTGTGCTTTATTGTTGTAGATTTCTAAAATATATGTACACTATTGGGACGTTGATAACTGTCATCGTTGTATTTAGAAGGCGGCTTCTTAGAAGCAACGTGAGGTCATAACATTGTTCATGATGTCATGTCACCATGACAAAGTGATATTTTACCCGGTGCATATCGCATGAAAACAAATTATCCCCGATATGTTTGCCCTCGTATGTTATAAGCATTGTTATTATCATTCTTTGAGGTTAATGCCACCCGTTGAATTCTTTGTTGTATTTTGAGCGGTGAAACTAAATAAATGATTTCTTTGGTCTACCCATAATAATTAAGGTGTCAACTTCCACTGTATACCTTACAGAAAGAAGTTTTGACTTTACTTTGATAACGAGCACATATGATCGATTCCTTGAAGCAAATGATGCAATTCAATATCATTTCTACAATTTATTTTAAATGCATCAATCAAATACAACAAATGAGTAGACAGATTGACTGCTATGTGGCAAGGAATAACCAGGCGCCAGCGATTTATGATATCCTTAGCAAATGTAACTTAAAATTCCCTCTCATAAAAATACAATAATATGTAGTATTATGATGAAGAATATAATACGAACTAGGTTAAACTATGACAACGCAATATATGAATATATGATCGAAACATAAATCATAATAAATCACATATGATTAAAACAATAAATTAACTTCAAATATGTTATTGCGTCAACATTGAAAATAATTCGAAAATGAAGAAAAAGAAACGTACATTCCAAAGCGTAAACAAACAATATCCTGTTATTTTGGGATATGCTATGAACAACTTCAAAATGTAATAGAAATAACATTAAATTATTGAAAGCTATTGCTCGTAAAATATGTCCTTGCGTCAACATCGAAAATAATTCCATAATGAAAAACAATTAACTTTAATTTTCGAAACATGCACAAATAATCTCTGGCTTTTTTAAGACGTGTCACGAATAATTTCACAGCTGGTAGAATTAACATGAAATTATAGAAACCATATGCTAACAAAAAATTGAAAATTAGTAATGACAATGCGTTTGTCACAAACATAGCTATTACCCCCGCCACATGTCGATATCTGAATGTCGCAATTATCCTCTGTCTGACCCTGAAACTTATGTAAACGTTACCGAAACTGTCATCTGATGCCTTGATACAAAATGCGAACAAATTCCATCCATTAGATTTGGAGATATCGCAAGAATACTCGCTGTGACCTTGAAAATAATCCGAAGGTCACTGAATTCGACTGGCATTAGACGATACTGCCAGGGCATCTTGGTACTACCTTTAAGCAAAACATATTAATTCTGTCTTGTATTTTCGCACTAACAAGTTAGACAGGTGCAAAACACTTTTCACTGTGAACTTAAAATGAGCTCACGTTTCCCAATCAGTTGGTGTTGGGGGAATCCCGCCAATACACCTTGATATAAAATTGGATCAAAATCTATTAATACTTTCCTGAGTTCGCGGCTACCAAGCTTGGCATGTGCAAAACTGTTACACCTTTGCTGTGACCTTTAAAATGACCTCAAGGTCACTAAATTCAAGTGGTGTCGGTAAATCTCCAATCTTCAGTCAATAAAGCTTGGTACCAAATTTGAACAAAATCCATCATTTCTTTCTCGAGTTCTTTCAGTAAACAGAATGGGGAGTCATTTGAACAAGCGATTGTAGTTTTTATTGCTTTTTTGTTCAGTTTAATATCTAAGTTTGATTCTAGCCGACTTCTGCCAATCTCAAACATAGCATATTTTGTTTCCCGAAGTTTGTGATGCATTTTATTGCAGATTTTACGTTTTTTGGGAGTACCAAGCCAAGATACAAAGTCTCACAAAATGGGGATCGTGAGGCTGCAACATAGCAAAACCAATTTGCTTGAGGCTGACAGATAATATGTAGAAATATAAAACATAAAAACAGCTGCATTTGTATCATATTCTAGGTGAGGCTGACTACTATTTGAACGTCCCTTGTAGTTATACCCGTTAGAACAAGTGTGTTAGATATATCCGTTAGAAACCCACCCCTACCCCGACCCCACTTTATATGTATACATATCAAAACCTCAAAAGATATTTGCGAAAAGACATGATACAGAGGACAGTTTATATCGATATATATCAGAACGAATATCATTTTCGTCATTTAGCTAAGACTTGTCAATTCATTCTTGGGTTATCGCGCTAACAATCTTTATATTGGCAAAATCCTCAGATTTTTGCTGTGACCTTGAAAATTATCTCAAGGTCACTCCATTTTACTTGTGTCGGTGAATCTCGCCAATATACCTTGGTACCAAATTTGAACAAAATCCATCATTTCTTTCTTGAGTAATCGCCCTAACAAGCTTATTTGATGTTTGAAATGCAACGAAAAACAAACACCCGCGTATTTACGAGTGATTAAAACTGTTATTACACTTTACGTAAATATTTATTACATTTTACCGCAACGCAAATTATTACAATTTACGTCAATTTTTATTGCAATTTGCGTATTACAATTTACGTCAATTTTTATTACAATTTACGTTTTTATTACAATTTATGTCAAGTTTATTACAATTTGCTGCAAGTATTACAATTTGCGTTTTTATTACAATTTACGTCGTAACGCAGGCGCGATACAAGTGAATTATTGTTTAACGTGAGTCAAACTGTTTAAGACTAAGTCTAAAATGATTATAAACCAATGACAAATTGGGAAAGGCGCCATGCTGATGAGCAATGGATACGTTTCACGCAGCGACAACCTGTTGTATGGTCGTGCTATGTCCAGACGGCGACACGACGGGGACTTCCATGTTGCCCCGACACAGTGATCAGGAAGTGTTGTATTTTTTGGTGCTTTTTGAAACAGATATCGTCCGTTTTGATAAGCTGTTGTTTTTATATCAAACATATCCTACATCCAACATTTTATCGACAGCCATTGTTTATGCATCGACGCGTAGGCTGTCGAAAGATGGGTGCTTAGGTACCCACGGTTCCGTGGAAAAAGACTCAATTTAAAGGCATCAAAGGATACCTGTTTTTATCCACTCAGAATCAGGAATTATTCAATGACCAAAGGTTGGAAAATGCTTCAAACAACCTTTGCTTCTTTCTTGCTCGGTTAATTGGTTTATAGCGTCTTACATATAGAAATAGGTGGAAAATCTGACACGGTAGCATTTATATAAGTTCTGATAACCCTTTTCAGATCCTTCAAGTGTAAAGTTGGTATCATCTGAGTACTGAAAAATGAGGTATTCTATACCCTTCATCTTAATTCCTTATTTGCTCGAATTGCTATAGCTAGTAATTCGACACAAGCAACAAAGAGGTGCGGGGCGACCGGGTCACCTTGACGACAACCACGCCCTAAAGTGAAAAAGTCTGATAATGTACCACAGTCGATAATAGAGCTACAGCTATTCCTTTGAAACAGTTTAACCCAATTTGTAAGTACAGGGCAAAGTTAAAGGCTTCCAATGTTTTGTCAGTGAAGTCCAACTCAACTGTATAGAAGGCTTTCTCAAAATCAACTGCGACCAAAAGACCAGGTACTTCATGTTCTTCACAATAATGCATTCGATCATATAGTATTTTCCCCAATAAATCTATTTTTTTTAAACCTGTTTGTGTTTCACTTATTATACCAGGAAGAACTTCTTTAAGTCGTGAAGCAATTGCAGCGGATGCAACTTTATAGTCTATAGAGGGTCCATGCAGGTAGCAAAAGTACTATACGTCCCCATGAACCCTAGTATGGTGATCTACATGTACCTTCAGGTGTTGGTTGTTTTGTACTGTCTATAGTGATTAATTTTATGATAGTGTACTAGTTTTAAATTTATATCTGTGATACTCTGTATTTTTACTGTCCATCGTCGACAGGTTTTAATCTTCAAAATGTTTTCATTTTTTATTGTATAAATTGTTTTCGTCACAATATGGCTGAGATATTGCCGATGTGACGTTAAATATTTAAAAAAATAAAAATAACAAAGATAAATTAAAAAAATTTAAGACTAATTGGCCGCCAATCGTTCAAGTAGCGTCTGTCGCGAGAGTCTTTTGGTATACATGTGATTATACCTTATCTTTGGAAATCCGACAAAATTCCCGTTCTGTATGAATACGTAATATATCGCCAGAGAATTACACCTATGTCTTTCCAGAAAAATGTACAAAATTATGCACTAAAACCGTCCGAACCAGGACTTTTTCTCTTCTTCATATTTTCTAATTCTCGCGCACATTCGCCAAGTGTGAGTTCAGTTTCACAAACTTCGCGTTTATGTTTATCGATATAATACTCTTTTCTAAATTCATAAAATATTCCATATTTTTGTCTCCCTCTTTGTACCATCTAGCCTTACTCCGAAATATGATCCCTTTTACTTTATCAATTCTAATATTTTCAGGTTTTTTTTCTTTATCTTATCTATAATTTCATCACTACTTAATGTTGAAAATCTGGCTTCCACTTAATATATTTCACGTTCAACAAGCCGCTGTCATATGCCATTCTGGCGTTCGGCAACACGTAGACACATATCCTATAGAAAGATTGATTCACTTTTTACTTTGGTTTTCAGTCATATGGATTGGACTGAATGACATTGCCTCGGAACATTCCTGGGTCTGGGCTGATGGCTCGGCCTTGACATCCAACTATTGGAACCCAGGAGAACCACTAACTTCTAGAGGTAGCAACTGTGTAAGTTACTATCCGCACATTATAAGTGGAGGTTGGGATGACGTCAGCTGCAACAACAAGTATCGGTTTGTTTGTGAATACAGACTGCTGTGAAGAGTTGGTGGACTGTCCGACACATATCACCTGTACATCCTCAGTACATATACACAAAGAACTTAATTAAGCAACCCCTGTATTTTTGGAATAATAGGTTTTCAACACGTACATAAAACTTCTTGTGGTGACCTCGATGGAAAAACTTGAGTTTTTTCTGACCCGTATGTTCCGTTGACTCATAAAAACGACAACATGATTGGAATCTATGTTGATTTTATGATAATTACTCATTTCAAAAACAAAACACTGATTTTCATACAAAACCATGTCTGTACAAGTATGGCCCTGGAATGTTTAATGTTGAAATAATTGGTGAATGTGAACATTAACAACGTCCCTTGTGTATATGTGCATTGGATATATTGCAGTGTAATTAATTGTTCAAAAAAGTTCAGCTTGTAATCTTATGATATTGTTTCATATTTAAAAGATTCAGTGGAGGGTCTTAACGTTGTGCTTTAACAATAATTAGTTGGCAGGAATGTATTCTTATCTGATGTGGAATATTTTATATTATGCTTTCGTAGTTCCTTAGATCTTCTGCGGTGTCTACTTAACAGGCTTCTCTGCTCTATTGTAAAACTCTACTTTATATCTGTATATACGCCCCCTTGCCATCCACGAATCGGTAGGTGTTGGGATGTCGATGAGGGAGACCACGGTTGAGCTGGGTGTGGAATCCTTCCAGGTTGTTTGTCCTGGGACCTGTTGTCGTGTGATGGTTCCACAGGGCAGGGGGAATCAGCTGCGTCGTCTACCCATGTGGTGACGATGTAGTCGTTAAATGCATCAGCTCTGGGCACGTCGGATCTAGTGTGTTGTCCATGGCGTCAACCCACGTGTCCTGGATATTGTTCTGGGGGTAAACCAGCTGCTCAGATGGTCCACTTCAGGATCCTCTCGGTCTCTGTTGAACGTCATTGATTCATAAATAAATCGGAAACATTTCTTAAACTCCCCTTATCTCCTTAAGCTCTTCCACTTTCATTCCTACTCTAGAGCTCAATCACTCGTTCATTAAGTTTACTACCCCTGAAGGTCCGGGTTAGAATGAGCCTTCAGTAACCCATGCTTGTCGTAAGAGGCGACTAACGGGATCGGGTGGTCAGGCTCGCTGGCTTGGTTGACACATGCCATCGGTTCCCACGTGCGCAGATCGATGTTCATGCTGTTGATCACTAGATTGTCTGGCCCAGACTCGATTATTTACAGACCGCCGCCATACAGCTGGAATATTACTGAGTGCGGCGTAAAACTAAACTCACTCACTCATTAGGTTTACCCCCAGTTTGCCAGCAGCCACCAGGGATATTACCTGGGATTAGCGGACACGGATGGGTGAGCGTTCAGGCCAAGTTCCCTGTGTAATAAAACCGGGGTAAAATTAGGCCACCCATAAACTGTGGATCTGATCTTCACTTTTAAAAAGGCAATATGAGCACCATCATTGTATATATATACAGTATAACAAAATATCATACTACACAGCTGTGGTTAGGTTCCCCACACTAGACGGCACCAACACAAGCAGAATCCATGAGCGCAGTCCTGGTACCGCGTGATTATTACCTGTTTCGAAATTTGAAGTCTCACTTGCGTGAAAGAAGATTTACCCATGATGATGAACTCAAGGCTTGGTTTAGAGACCAGACAAAGGTCTTCTATTTGCACGGAATTGCCAGCATGCAGCACAAATGGGCAAAGTGTATTGAACTGAAGGGAGACGATAACAGTGAGTGAGTGAGTTTAGTTTTACGCCGCACTCAGCAATATTCCAGCTATATGGCGGCGGTCTGTAAATAATCGAGTCTGGACCAGACAATCCAGTGATCAACAGCATGAGCATCGATCTGCGCAATTGGGAACCGATGACATGTGTCAACCAAGTCAGCGAAACTGACCACCCGATCCCGTTAGTCGCCTCTTACGACAAGATAGTCGCCTTTTTATGGCAAGCACATGGGTTGCTGAAGACCTATTCTACCCCGGATCTTCACGGGTCGGAGACGATAACAAATAATAAAAGTTTTAAGACTGAATCTGACTGTATATCAAGTTTTCAAAACGTTTTGACCTCCCCTCGTAGGTCTCACACAACCACCACACTGCAACAACATGTGTTCAGTTAAACGTATGATATCAATCATTATTTTAACCACTCATTTATGGTCATAGGTGTTAGTTTCAAGCTGAACACTATTTACCAGCTAACAGTGGTAAGGTGAACTGTAGATATACCAAGCCTTCTATGCCACTTAAAGAAAGGCTATGTGTAAATATTGTAAACATGATTGTACATAGATGAATTTCACTTTTTGATCCAATGTACTTTTTATAAAGACATTAGATTTAAACTAGACATTAGATTTAAGGCAGCTACAGAAAGCAACTGTAATTTTAATCACCTTTGTGATGAAGATAAATTGTTTTATATAATGAATTCCGATGTTTTACAAAATAGATTAGCAAATGCACTTTATAAAATGTTTAAAAGACGGCAAATGCTGGAGTAATGTTAATTTTTTATATACAATGGATATCTAATTGTTGCTTTTTTCATTCTTGGACTTAATTTATTATGATTATATTAAGAATCTCCTCTTATTCTTGCTCTTTCTCTTTTGTTGTTTCATCGAGGAGTCTGTTGTTATCAGTGTGTCTTATCTACAATCTGCCATTTCTATCTTCCATATTGTATTCTATCATGTGTGTACCATTAATGTACTTATAATGTATTTATAGTGTCCCGTAAGCCCATGTATGGCTGGACGCACTTCCTTTAAACTGTTTTATGTGATTCGGTATTTTACTGTAAATGGGGTGCATGTGACACTTAAATAAACATTTTCTATCTTCCATATTGTATTCTATCATGTGTGTACCATTAATGTACTTATAATGTATTTATAGTGTCCCGTAAGCCCATGTATGGCTGGACGCACTTCCTTTAAACTGTTTTATGTGATTCGGTATTTTACTGTAAATGGGGTGCATGTGACACTTAAATAAACATTTTCTATCTTCCATATTGTATTCTATCATGTGTGTACCATTAATGTACTTATAATGTATTTATAGTATCCCGTAAGCCCATGTATGGCTGGACGCACTTCCTTTAAACTGTTTTATGTGATTCGGTATTTTACTGTAAATGGGGTGCATGTGACACTTAAATAAACATTTTACGACAACGACTACTACGACTACTACTACTACTACGACTACTACTACGACTACGACTACTACTACTACTACGACTACGACTACGACTACTACGACTACGACTACTATGACTACTACTATTACTACTACGACTACTCCTACGACTACTACTACTACTACGACTACTACTACTACGACGACGACTACTACTACGACGGTGGCTACTACTACTACTACTACGACTACGACTACGACTGCGACTACTACGACTTCTACTACTACTACTACGACTTCTACTACTACTACTACTACGACTACAACTACTACGACTACTACTACTACTACTACTACGACTAAGACTACGACTACGACTACTACAACAACTACTACTACTACTACTACTACTACTACTACTACTACTACTACTACTACGACTACTACTACTACTACGAATTTTACTACTACTACTACTACGACTACTACTACTACGACTCTTTCTACTACTACTACTACGACTACTACTACTACGACTACTACTACTATTACTACGACTACTACTACGACTAATACTACGACTACTACTACTACAACTACTACGACTACTACAACTACTACTACTACTTCTACTACTACTACTACGACGACGACTACTACTACTACCACTACTACGACTACTACTACTACAACTACTACTACTACGACGACTACGACTACTACTACTACGACTACTACGACTACGACTTCTACGACTACTACTACTACTACTACTACGACTACGACTACGACTACTACTACTACTACTACGACTACTACTACGACTACTACGACGATTACTACTACGACTACTACTACGACTACTACTACTACTACTACGACTTCTACTACTACGACTACTTCGACTACTACTACGACTGCTACTACTACTACGACTACTACTACTACTACTACGACGACGACTACTACGACTACTACTACTACGACCACGACTACGACTACGACTAGTACTACGACTACTACTACTACTACTACTGCTACTGTTTTCACCAGCTCACCTGTTGTTTTAAGAGATCAGCACGGTCCAGTGACAATAATCGCAGACACCTTAAAACAACATTTACGGTGCAATGGACAGAATAGCTACTATTACCTGCACATTTTAATGGAATAGTCCAAATATAAACACAAGAAAAAAAAAACATGCCGCAGTTAAAGGTCACATGCAACCCCAAATCAAACATAATTAAAACACAATTATCACTTATTCATGACATATAACATACATTGCTGATTATGAAAAAACATATAAACAAAATTATAACCGTACAATCACAAATCAAAAGTGCAATAATTTGTACTTGGGTTTACTTCCCCACTTCAAAGACATATCTATATCACAGTTAGAAATTCTGTCAATGCTAAATAATGACATTGCTTTTAAGTACCGAACTGAGAAAGTGACTCGGTAAGAAGAACGTGTGGTGAAATAGACAAATGAAATTATAAACGGAAAAAAGTAACTGTGCTTCACATAAATGTCATAAAATATTTATTCCAAAACATTTTTGAAAAACTATCGCAGAAAAATATGACCAAACGCACTTTTATCATTGTCTGAATGAAATGCACATGTTGCACGTGCGTTTCGTGTGACGTTGCAAGTTTCGTGTTTTGCATGTTAAACGCAATTGCGATTTTGTCACACGTGTTTTTTTAGCCCCAAAGAGCACATATCGTTTGTGTAGACTTCTGGTGATAAGAAAAACACACTATTGGTCCTGTTTACACTGCAAAACATTATGCCCCGTCTGTCTGAAAATGAACGTCTACGTGCCGTCGGTATGCTGCAGACTGGAATGCCCCAGATTGAAGTAGCTAGACATTTTAATGTTCATCGGAACACCATATCGTCTCTTTGGAGACGTTATCAGCAAAATGGCAACACTTGCGACTTATGATGATCCGGTCGTCCACGCGTGACGTCACGTCGGTAGGAAAACCATGTCCGCCTTGTTCATCTAAGGAATCGGTTTCAACCTGCAACTTTGACAGCTCGAACGATTCCTGTTTTGAGACCCATTAGTGGGAGAACTATAAGAAACCGTCTAAGAGAGCACAACATTCGACCCCGACGACCTGCGATACGTCCCGTTTTGCTTCCACGTCACCGTCAAGCACGTCCAGCATGGTGCAGACAACATCTAAGGTTCACACAACGAGACTGGAACTGTGTCCTGTTTACAGATGGGTCTCGATTTCACCTTGACAGTTCAGATGGGCGAGCAAGGGTTTACAGACGTGATGGGGAACGTTACGTCGACGTGTGAATCACCCATCGTCGTTCATTTGGAGGTGGGAGTGTAATGATGTGGGGAGATATCTCACACCGTGGACGAACGGAGGTCGTTATTGTCAATGGCAATCTGACAGGTTCACGTTACCGAAACGAAATTATTGAACGTCACCTTGTGCCCTTTGTGCAAAACCATGGACCCGGTACCTTTCAGCATGACAATGTCGTCCACGTTGCACGTGTCGTCACAGACCACTTAGGGGCAACAGAACATTGATGTTCTGTCATGGCCAGC